AGCCTGCAGAACAGGAATAATTTGTTGCGTTTTTCAGGCAAATGAAGATAAGTCATGCACAGGGTAGGAGTGCAAATAATAACTCCTCCCCTTGACTTCATGCCTGCCTCATGCTTGCCTCAATTCTACTGAAAAAGGCAAAAGAATTTACACCTGTTCTTCAGGCTAAGATATGGATCCTGGTATTGCAAGCTTAGACAATAAGTGGTTCATTTTGATCTATTGAAATAAAATTTACCCAATAACTGCCATTAGTTAAAAACAGCAGGCTCTTCTAGTCAGTGGCAATGTATTTTCTCAAACACTCTTAAGTGGTGGCCTAAGTTATTTGTATTCTCCATTAGCATGATTACCATCAATATAATGATTTGTTAAAATGTTGATTTTTGTTTATTACTTTATCGTCCAAACTTATTATTTATATAATTGCTAACATCTTATAGTTCTTCACACAAACTATTACAATTAAAAGAGACATGCCTGTTTCAGGTTCATACAACCTTACTATAACTATATCCAGTTGATTCTGAGATAAATATGTTCAAATATTAACAGAGCTATTAAAATTAAGAAGGCCTTTAAGCACTATACTGTTCAAGAATGATTCTCTTTTGACAACTTATTTCACAATTATATGGACTTAAACCTTTCTCTGTTTCCAGGAAACAAAAATTGGCAAATGAAAAGTCTCTGGTACCTTCTTTACGCTTTTGAGAGGGTGACTGAATGTCTTCTTTGGCTGGGTTGTCTGTCCCTTCTGGATTCTCTTTTACTTCTGTCAAAAGAAGAACCTTTCATAGTCAGAATTGCTTTTACAAATTTTATTTTTAAATATAAGTGACTCTTGCAGTGACATTAACACAGCCTCTTGCAATACTTGGTTTGGTAATTAAATGTCCATGTAAGATTAAAATTTGTTAAATTTGAGAGGGAAAAGGTGGGAATGAGAGACCAATTTGTAGGTACATGACTGTATTCTAAACAATTCCAAGTTATGTGTTCACCTTTACAAAACAAAAATCCATGGTTATATACAGACTAGCAACTTAGTTTGTACTTTCTCTGAATTTGGAGGCTATTAGATCATGCAGTAGTGTATGTTTTTGAGATATTGTATTATATAAAGGTCTATAAACATTCACAGAGCATATGTCTCACCGGCTTCCTGATCACTCTCTTTTTCTTCTTTCCTTTCTCCATGGGACACAACTCTAGGATTGGAATATGCAAATGAAACTTTCTTGGTCTCTCGTATCACAGTTTCTTTGCTGAAAATGCAAAATTTCATTGTACAGTATGAAAACCATGTACTCAAAAAATATAGCTCTTACCTATTAAGTATTTTTTTCTTTTTGCTAACACTGGAGGTCAATGCATTGTGATGATGGATAAATGTCAACACTAACAAATAAAATAAAACAACACAGCTAACAAGACCTCTTAAAGTATACTGAATCTCGCATGAGAATATGACATTTTAAACAAAAAAATCCACATAAATTGAACAATTAAACTTCCATTTTGATCCTGAGAAATTTGTATTTTTGCAAGAGATTAGTGGCTAGTCACATAACTTCTTGGATTTTCATTGAGAGCTTGAAACAAAAATGTGTTCTTAGCCAACAGTGGGAGCTTAAGCTGGTCACTATGTAATAGCAAAATTTTCTTGCAAAAGGTCTTGAGCATATCTAAAAGAATTGATAGAGAACTGTAATGCATTTGAACTGCAAGGTAAAGACATCCATGCAAATAAAACAATCCTCACAGTGTCGTCATCAACAGAACAAAATATTAATCATGGGGTCCTCAAGAGTGATTTAATCTAGCATTTAACTTCTTCTTACAATATCACCCCTAAACCACACATTAAGGTTAGGAGAACAAAGGAAATGATCAACAACTAAAGAAGCTCTCGATTGTTAAACAAATTCTCCTTGTCTCTTAGAAAATGTACAGAGAACAGTATGGAGAATATGCACATTGATTTCAGGGTGTACTAAATTAAGGTAAAAGGTTAAACTGGTATGAATAAAGAAGTTAATGTGACTGCCTGCTAAAATGATTGCCTGCTAAGGTATGAAGAGAAGGCCTAACCAATCACCTGACTAACAGACCAAGACATGTCAGCTATCAAATAAAAATAACTCATTTACCTCATTTCGACTGCAGCCACATTGGGAGTTTCCTTTATGAGTTTTAATTCCAGTTTGGCATTGTAGCCAATTTCTCCTAACCCTCTCTCCAATGCATCTTTAACTTTTCCATCCTTAAAGTCTTCTTTAAACTTTAAAAATTTCTCCTGTGATCCAAAATCCAAGTCAACAATAATTGACCCAGGCTTGACTGTAGCTTCACCCCAACCTTTAAAAGCCCATTTTACTACATCTGTAACCAATTTTGGATTCTCACGGAAAAAAGTTACTAAACTTTTTACCACATAAATTCCAGTCCCAGAGACGGCGGTCACCAATATTCTAGTTGTCCAAACATCATTAATCTCTATCTTATTCCCTCCAGCTGTCTCTACTCTCACGACAGAACCACTAGGGCTTGGTCTGGCACCATTACCTGCATCTCCTTCAGCTTCACTGGCCATATTTGAACACCACTTACCCTGTCAAACACAAATATCAATTCAGATTAGATTTTAATGAGCATCACAGGCTACCCTATGGTCAGGGCTCATGTTACAAGGGTGCCTCTCGTTAGTCTGTGTAAGTGATTTTGGAAAAAAAAAGTTTTTACATTGCAGCTTCCAAATGAATATGATTTTACATAAAAGCATTCACTGCCCCTTCCTACCCCATTATCCTTTGTCAAATCAAGCAGTTGTTAAAAGGACAGTGAAGAAATCAAGAATTTGTCTCTGTCTGTTAGATACCCACAATCTTGTATGATTCCACTGCAGTGGTAGATAAGTCATAGGTCTCTATGTGACTCCCACAAGAGCACTGATGCTAATTAAGAAACTTAAGAGCTGATGGGTTGTGGCTCCCTTTGGAGGGTGGCTAAAGGAACCTTTGGAAAACCGTAAGCCCGCCATTTTTGAATCTGAACTCGTTAGCCTTTGTGGTGAGCCCCAAATTGTCACTTTTCCTTTTGATCTGGGATTTTTACTTACAGCAGGGGTCCTCGTTCGAAAGGGAGAAACTTATTAGAGTTTTAACTCTTAAAAGATGTAGACGAGGAAATTTTGATGTATGATCGCTGTGGTTTAAAAAATGAAAAAATTGCAGTGTACATGCTGACACATCGTTAACACGAACGTGAAAAAGAGTACATCATCTCAACTATAACGCAATATTTTCTTGTCTTTAACAGTACTTAGCCATTATCTGAGTCTAGCGACGGTCTAATTGTTAGTTGTTGTTTGGGGTAAATAGTTTGTTCTCGGTCTCGCAATCCAAGCCAGTGGCCTCGGCGTCTACCGAGTCTTGACTTCAAATCGATGTCTTTGTGCCTTAAATACCGTTATTAGAAGCATTTAAGCATCAGACACAAGGAGCCTAAGCTGTTACTAGAGTGTAAATTAAATTTCACCCTCAGTTGTGTATCTAAGAAACAATTTCTAAAGGCGGAAGTGAAATTCCCAGCACTAAGGGGTTATCGTGCCGCATAAAGAGAATTGAGCGACAGATTTCAACATAAAAGGTTGAACTGAATTACTTTTAGCCTTTCTCTTGCCGATAAAAACTTTTCAAACCGAATTGTCCTTTTTGTTATCTTAATTGTTGTCGAACAATTCGTCGAAGCGTTCACACTTGTTCATTCCATCATAGTTAGTAGAGGAGACTAAGTCTCCTCTACTAACTATGATTCCATTGACTAGCGCAATCAACAGAGTGAAGGTAGCAACTAAAAGACATGACTATCGTGATACGTTACAAGGCTAGTAAACTACTTACCTCACTTAGAAGTAAAAAGTTTGCGTATTGGATGGCAAATCCAGCTCCACGAAAATACTTGATCTTTGGCGTCGCTAAGGCTGCGGAACAA